AATGTACAATCTTTATAGCCAATGACCTTTTGTTGTGACTTCGGTCGCCTTTTAACCGTTTACTGTTTTATTTGGCAATCAGACCATAGATAAATCAGCCTACCAGTGTTCATTAGCCCTTCCAGCGCTCATGCTCGGATGGATAAACAATGTGGAAATTTTTCGGTAGAGAGTGGCGTATCGAATACTCTATATCAATCAAATAGCGAATCGAAGACTGCTTATATAACCATAATGTAAATTATAGCGAGGTCTTTTTGGCATTTGGCACTACGGCGGCCATATGAAGGAACGTTAATTCTGTGCGGGATTCGTGGTAGGAGAGAGACTTCGTCGCCGAGTCTTGGTATTTACCACGGTAAATGAACATATAGCCAAAAACTGCATCAAAGCGAAGTTCTTCAACAAATCCTTGATTTGCAGCCACGCCCCGACGAAAGAAAAGGACGATGTGACCAAAGATGTATTCTATGAACGCTTGAAGCGCACCTATAACAGCTGAACCATCTTAGGCACAACGGTCTGTAAATTCAGTCTACCTTATGAAACAACCCCAAATGATAAACTTTATAAACTGGCCGACCGGTGGTAATGCTCTAAACATCTACGAAGAGATGCGGCGACTAACAGAAGGTTTCAAGACCGGAGCATACTCTTGTAGCACCTCCAGAGGTAATCTGGTGACTGATGCCCATAGAAGCTGACGTTGGCTAATACCAATAGCTTCGTCAGGTTCGGAACGACCTCTCCGAGCCGTTCGATAGCACACAAGGTTTCAGACAAGGTGACACCCTATCTTGTGACTTCTTCAATGTACCTGGAGAAAAAAATTCGAGCTGTGCAGCTGAATAGGGAAGGCACAATCTTTTATAAGAGTGTAAAGCAACACAAATGGCTCTGGCAGTGAACGAGGGCAAGACGAAATATCTCTTGTCATCAAACACTCGCACTCGCGACTTGGCACTCACGTCACTGTTGGCAGTCATAACTTTGAAGTCGTAGATAATTTCGTCTATTTTGGAACCAGCGTAAACACCACCAACAATGTCAGCCTGGAAATCCAACGCAGGATAACTCTTGCCAACAGGTGCTACTTCAGACTGAGTAGGCAGTTGAGAAGCAAAGTCCTCTCTCGACGAACAAAAACCAAACTCTTAAAAGTCGCTCATTATTCCCGTCCTGCTAATAGTGATGAGTCGGTGTTACGAGTTGTCGAGAACAAAGTTCTGTGGAAAATTTATGGTCCTTTGAGCATTGGCAACGGGTAATATCTCGATTGAGCTTTACGAGATATACGACGACATTGGCCGGCGGTTAGTTCATGTCGTCCGAATGGATGAAAAGACTCCAGCTCTGAAGGTATTCGACGCTGTACCCGCCGGGGGAAGCAGGGGAAGAGAAAGACCTCTACTCCGTTGGAAGAACCAGGTGGAGAAGGCCCTGGCTTGGAATCTCCAACTGAACCCTTTATACCAAAAACATTAGCAAACAAAGAGATAGCAACTCGAAGACTACCAATAAAATCATAATGTATATTAGAGCGAAAATTGCAAATGGCGTTAAATTAAAAAAAAAGTAACCAAAGAGTTTGCTGACAAATATATCCACAAAAAATGTTAGGAAACGCACGCGAAAGCTCTTAGCCGTTTTATTAAAAATTATACAATTTGATTGGATTAAACATTAGCATACAATCAGATCTCAATAGAAATATTGCAGCGGCTATCTCATATTACAACCAAAGCGCTAATTGCTACGACATGACAGTTTGATTGTACAATATTTGTGAAATTCAAAAACGTCAACAAGAGCCAAACATATCAGGTCTTCGCAGTCTACGGACCTCGTTACGCCAATTAACGTCCATATGTAATTTGATTCAATATTCCAAGCTAGTCAAAATCAATTTTCACTATTAGCAAAGGCTGTCATAGCCAAGCCAAGTAGGTGTTCACAGTCAGCGTGCGATGAAGAGCTGTTAATATTTTTTATAAGCAAACAAATAAATTAGGCTTCCGAGGCTAGGTTTTCTCTGTTATCATAAGTAAACTGAATGATTTGTGAAAATTAAATTAAATGCGGATTAAGGAATTCGCTTTTTGGATGAGCACACCTGGGCAAATTGCACTGTGAACTAGTGAGTACCGTTATCGCAATAGCAGGTCGTCATTGTAAAGTCATTAGCTTTTGACAAAATTCGGCAAATTAAGCACATTAAGGTATTTCTGATTTGAAATGGGCTAAAGCAATTAATCGCATGCAACAGCAGTGTGGTCTACACGAAACATTTCCGGTATTTCACGAATTCACATTACCTACACACACAGCTATATGCATAATTACATATATACATACCTATATATATATATATATTCGTGACTTATTTGTGCAGCTTGTGGGAAGACATCTATGACTGGTTTACGAAGCGTAACAAATGTGTGGGGAAGTGAAAACACTTGCTCCGAACTTTTTTTTGTTTGTTTGCCTTCTAATTGAAATGCCTCTTTAATTGGCAAGTAAACAAACATATAGAAATATACATACACACACACACATATATGACACTTGTGTAGTAGTGCAGTAAGTGGGGGCTGTCAGCCAATAACTCATCAAATATGTGTTTACAAAGTCACATGAATGCTTTTATGATAAGACGACAATCTGGCGGATCGAGTGCCCTGTACCGCTGGACGGGGGCGGGGCGCTACAAATGCGATTATTCTATTTCTCAAACGCCGTACGTTTGTACGCTGATAGTGGAGGTCAATTGGCTGCTGTTGTTGTTGTTACTCTCATTATAATATGCGATAGACCCTTGTTTCAATAGAGCGCGGAGATTATGGTTCAGCAAGCGCATTTCTAGTAAACAAGTTCATACATATGAATACATTGGTGTGCACATATGACAGCCAGAATAATATAAAAATAATAATAACATAAACTTTTTAATTACAGCCAATTAATATTATCAGTTTAAAGCCAACGAAGCGCGGGCTGTGGATCTGTAAAAGCCTTAGCAGCGCCAGAGGTTATTATAGGCCTGCAAAGGCAGGGTCGTGTATATTTAAACTCCTTTGTAGATTGTAATTGAGAATGCTGTTTAGAAAAAATATAATACCCTTTACAAAAAAAAAACGTGTTTCATACAAAGATTTGATTTTTATCGGATGGTTTGTATGGCGGCTATATGATATAGTGGTTCGATTTGGAAAATTTTTTCGGTTTTTGTTGATTGTGCTTTGGATAATAATCTGTGCTGAATTTCATGAAGATATCTGATCAACTAAAAAAGTTTTTCATACCAGCACTTGATTTTGATCGTACAGTTTGTATGGCAGCTATAGGATATAGTAGTCCGATCTGAACAATTTCTTCGGAGGTTGTTGCTTTGCTTTGGATAGTAATCGGTGACCAAATCTATGCAGATATCTCATCTACTAAGAAAGTTTTCTAAACAAGGACTTGATTTTGATCGTTCATTTTGTATCTCAGCTATATGATATAGTAGTCCGATCTGAACAATTTCTTCGGAGGTTGTTGCTTTGCTTTGGATAATAATCTATACTAAACTTCCAGAAGATATATCACGAACTAAAAAAATTTTTCATATAAGAACTTGATTTTCATCGGTAACTTTGCATGACAGCTATATGCTAGGGTGGTCCAATATCGTCGATTTTGACAAATGAGCAGGTTTTTGGAGAGAGAAGGACCTGTACAAAATTTCAGACCGATGTGAGGTATAACGGCAGACGGACATGGCAGAATCGACTTATCTCGTCACTCTGACCATTTATATATGAATGTATGTTATATATGAATATATTTTATTGGGTCTCCGACGTTTCGTTCTGGGTGTTAGAAACTTCGTGGCAAACTTAATAGACCCTGTTCTGCGTATATATAAACAACTAATGACAAATTTTAATGAGCAGCAAATAGTATTATCTTTTCGCCACTTATAAATTTTATTGTTTACAAATAAAATCGGAGCATCATACTGATACATATATATGTAAGAAAGTAGTATGTACGAAGGTTCATAAACTGGAGTGAAAATGTTGATTTAGAACAAAAAACGTACTTAAAAGTGTTCATCATAGATATTGCAGTGAGTCCGAAAAGTTAGTTCGTTGCAGTGGAAGGTGGTGATAAAATCAGTTTCCATCAGATGGGCTCGGTAGCAAGCGGATTTAATTGGCTTAATATTGCACTAATGTTTTCCCATAAGAATTTTCAAACATCCATTTGACTTTACACCTTATTTGAATATTGGACAATCTGTATATATTTCATCATTAAACAATATATCATTACCAGAAATAGATGCTTTCTTGATTTCATTGGTATCTCTTATAATGATATATTGTTATAACAAAACTGGATAAAACCGGACTAAATATATTTCTGGTTCCCATATTCCTTATATAAGAATTCCGGTTAGCTTTATACCGTATATATTGGGACAATTTCCACTAAAGGGACATTTACGGTAGCGCTTCTAATCATAGTGTTATCATACAAAGTTTTCACGATTTTTTCAAGTGTGAGCAACGCATTGTAGTAGAAAACAGGTTAACTAGAAAGGTAAATAACGGTATATAACAATAAGTCAACAATATAAATCTTAGGGCTTTGGAAAACAAGTGTAATAATACAAACTAAATAAGGTGGTATATTTTTAAACAAATAAATATTTGCTATACTAATTTTAATGTAACAGATATTAACGTAAACAAACGACATCAGCTGGGAAAAAAACCGGGAAACGTGATTTAAAAACTTACGAAGATGAGCAAACAAACAATAGTGAAATAACGAAAACAACAAATGGCTATAATACTATAATAAAAGGTGTTGCGCATAATGTAGTTCTCCTCAGAGCACACCATTAAATCGAACGGAATTACATAAATTAATCAACTTTTTATTATAAACTTTTAAATACCTGTTAGTTATAACTTAATAGATTTTTTTAGAATTGTGCTATTCGTACTCACCCGACATGAAATGCAACAGAATCGATGTAATCGGATACAATACTGGACTGTATGTAATATCGGGGCAATCATAGCCCAATACATTCACGATGCGATCGGCTACCGAACGCCCAGTGCGTGTAAGATGGTAGGTTAGACAGTGAGCGGGATCGACGAAGGCGGGTAACATTATGGGTTTTTCAGAGAGCTCCGTTGTGCCAAAGACCTAGAATTAGAATGAAAATTAAGTACTACTACATAAATTATCTTATGGTGCAGTCTATACAAGCTTTTCAGACTTATGTCAGATTTGTATGAAAAGTTGAGCGGGTCAAAGTTAAAGGAGGTGATAAACTGCATCTCATATATTTTCTTAAGATAACCACAAATATGCTACATTCGTCGCAATAAACAGAATGTTTTTCGGTCTTTAAAAAGCCAAAGAGAAATTACCAAGAATTTTGATTTAGTATAAAGTTAAAAGCATGTTTTAAAAATGAGTTCGTGGTGGTCTGAATTTTCGACCACTTTACAATTGGGATTGTGTGTCAGGAATAATAATGCACTGAATATTCTATTCTAAGACGTCAATCGTCTCGAGCTTATCTGCGTAGACAAGCGAATTCACATAACCTCACAGAAAAAAGTTCAGCGTTGTAAGCCACCCTATAGACCCATCTCGTTGGAGCCTTCAGACATCCACGTCAATCTCTTTCACACGAAAGTTATGGCTCTATAAGCGGTCCCCGTGAAATGAACTTATTGACTGCTTCATTTTCGAAGGAAAGTAGTTCAGTGATTCTCTCTAATCACAGAGTACACCAAACATTGGCTTTTTGAGAAGGTAACGGCGTCTGAACAATGTTTTGTGGAGTATCATTAGTGCACCAATTCAACCCAGAAGTAACCTTTATCGCTGAACTAAACTAAATGGGAAAATCAGGAACAGTCGATATCTGGTTTTGTGCTTCACTCAGCGGTCGTGCGTGAAAAGACAAACCAAAAGGTATATACATAAAGTAACAACTAAGCGACCAACTCCAAAAAAATTTATTGGGTATTGTATTTATAATCTGGGTCAGTTTTTCCTACCTGATGCACCATGTCCCAATAGAAACCATCCAACATATTCTGCTTCGTCTGATGTTGAGCGCATAGTGCTGGCCACAATTGTGCACGAATGGGCGAATTAATAGGCCATGAATTCTCACGTAGAATACTCTTCACGTCACGCTTCTTGCCCTGCTGGAGCAGCTGTTGGATTTCAGTGAACGAACGCAAGGCTGGTTCTTTGCCTATAATATAGCAGATAAATAAAGAATATAGTAATTGTAGTAGGTATTACAAGACAGAAGTATAGTATATAGCATAATTACATGAAATATTTCTAATAAATACATAAGATGCAAAACATTGAGGTAGGTCATACAGGAGCTTTTTAAATTTCACAATGAGAAATTTATTTGTTTATGTAAAATTTCTATGAATCGCGCAAGTTTCTGGCAAACTCTTTATTTTGCATTATTTAAACTATCTTCGACAGAATGCTTGCCATTGGAATGTGTGCACGTATGGTTTCGAGTAGAGCGTGTCTACAAAAATAGAATTCATGAGCACTGTTTTGACACATTCCAAAAGCGCAATGGTGGCAAAACACTTAAGCTGATGAGATAAGAAATATTGCGTTGGTCAGATGGTGATTAGAATATTACCGGTGAATGTCAGGAGGTTGACAAATCGGCACTAAAAATACTGCAAATTACTCACAAAGTGCTATTAACTTATTATTACTCAAAATATTTTTTTTCTAATATTTATTGACAAATTAATTCTACAAGTGTCTAACAATGAAAGCTCTGCCAAGAGAGTGTTAAAATTGCGAAGAAAAAATGTGTCTAATTCGAACACCAGATTCCACGTTTAAATGTCAACAACGATCTTTATCCAAACAAGGTTGATAGGTATAATAAAAATACATATGTATATGCGAAAAGTAATAAATAGATGAAGATAATAAAAATAAAATAAAAAACATTGTCATTTACTGACGAATTTCAGAAATGTTGTTCGTCATATGCAAATCAGAAAAATTCGCAAATAATGAAATCATAGAAGCATGAAATTCGAAAACTGCGTCAAAGTTTTAACGTTTAGGCAATCGACATTTTTTTCTGTGGACGTGACTCTTATCACATGCATAGTGGCGCTCATAGAGCATACAGGAGTACATAAAATCATACGAGTATTAACGGTGCACAAACAAGGCTTGGGGATGTGTATGACGTTGATAAAAGTACGGAACATACATAAAAAGAGACTTAATACATACATACATACTATGTATATATACATTATATTAGGCAATTAAACTATTTATATTGTTTATAGGCAAATAAATTAATTCGATGCGCAAATTTGTTTAATTAACTATGAAATATAGAAAGTAGTGAGCCACTTAGAAAGGAAGATTAAGTGAGTCATTGGCATTTAGTAAGATTAAGATTTTTCATGTTGTGTTCGCCACATTCGCATTCTGCATTTGCGTTAGTTTGTAAAAACCCAGTGGGGAAATATAAATATTTCTGACAGCAGGTTCGAAAAATACTAGACTTGTACGTGGCGTGATGAGTTATTTTATACCAGATTAGTTTGTGATCTAGAGACTATTGCTTTTTTTTGTTTAATGATGGTCTCAGGAAAATTGCTTGTCAGATTACCGGAAAAACCACTGATAATTGTTTAAAAAAATCGAAATTAAAAAATCCTTCGATTACGCACTACTTTTTCACGTTCTCAAGAAGTTGTACAAATTTCATTGAAACCTACTGAGCGTTTTTCGAGTTACTATGGTCAGATTATCGGAAAACCAAAACTTTTTATTGCGTAACAAAATTGGAATAATGAAAAATTTGGTTAAACACTACCTTTTTATATTTTTAAAAAGGTGTAGAAATTTCATTGAAATCTAACGAGCGGTTTTCGAGTTACTATGGTCAGCAGCTCAAAAAAAGTTAGTTTTGAGAAAATGCATTTGAAGTTTTGCGTTCGCTTCGCTGGTAGCTTACAGCTACTGTAAGCTTTCTGCCTTTAAAGTTTCCAGATCACACAGGAACTAAAAAGATCGAATAACACGAAAATTATTTTTGGATTTACTTAAAATTTTTAGAGAATATTTTTAAGATATTATATAATATAATACAAAAATATATACCATTTTTTTAAACTTCTGATTATTACTAACTCCATAAAATGTTGATTATTCGGATAAATGCGTCAATAAAATATAAAAATAGCTCTCAAATACTTTTTAGTCCCCGGTGAAATGTTCGAGCTCCACGAAACTAGATTTCAGAGGTTAAAAAGAAATTCCAGCGAATTAGTAACAAGCGCAGTCAAAATCAATGGAAAATTTTAGTCGCTGTGTGTATGTAGTTTTATAACGCAGTGTCAAAATTCATGTGTTGGTAGGAAAGCAGTAAGTTCCCTATTTTAGAAGTTAAAATTCCCAGAACAATTTATGATGGCTTCTAACCGGCACTGTGTGGCGTGGAGTGCTAATATATAACTTAAGTATGGACATACATACATACAGACATCAAGACATATTCAAATTAATGAAGCAAGTGCAAATATTATAAAGATAAATTTATTCGAACATTTATAACACGATTGATTTGTGCCCAACCCAAATTCCATAAAAGTTAAATATTTTATCTTAAATAGCTGAGTAAACGCTTTATAATCGAACGAAAGCTGTACTTAGTATGCACATTAGAATGAGTCGATTTACAGGGAGGCAAAAACAAAAAAAAAAAAAATCACGTATGCACGAAATGATCTACGAATCATACTGTATAACTTTGCCATAGAGCTCATAAAAATGTTTTCGTCAGTTTTTGAGATATCGGAATGAAATTTAGTATGTAGGAGTGTTTCGATATTCTGTTGGACAGATCTTACAACTATAACATATACCTTATATACAGACTTCAACCCAAAAATCGCTAGGTTTTAGACCCATCTTAGTCTATTAGGCAAAGTTATTCAGTATGATCCGTAAACCATTTTCCACGTGACCGATTCTATCGCAAAAACTGAATCCGCTCTAATGTACAAACATACATATGTATGTTTCAATGTATATAAATACATACGAGCACATGTCCAAATGTGTGCTGACAAACAATTATCGGACCTGGGGTATTGTCATATGCATCGGCTAGATTGATTGCTGATGAAGTTATCATTCGAGCGCTGATACATTTTTTTTTTTTTATTGATATACATGTGGTACTTACGATATAAAACTGTGAAGTGTCTAGGCATACACATATGAGTAGATGCAAAGGTATATATCTCAGTATGTATATGGTATACATATTTATATACATTGGTGTAAATACAGTACACGCATATTTACTAAGGTAAGTTGAAGTATTTTTTGTGTAAATAGTGATAAAATAATATTAAAAAAGAAAGAACTTTGAAACTTTTATACATAAATCTAAGTACTGCTTCTTTTTTTTTATTGACGCATACATGCTTACGCGGTTACAGCCAAGTTAACAACAGCGCGCCAGTCATTCTTTTTTTTTTCGCTGTTTGGAGCCACTTGGAGATTTGAAGGGTCCTTCCTCTGCCTCTGCTTCCCTCGACGGGCACTGCTTCACTGCTTCGAATACTGTCAGAGCTGGATTGTTTTCATCTATTCGGACGACATGACCTTGCCAGCGTAGCCGCTGTCTCTTAATTCACTGAACTACATATGTCAATGTCGTTGTATAATATATCTCATGCAGCTCACCGTTCCATCGAATGCGATATTCGAAGTGACCAACGCGTAAAGGACCGCAGAACTTTTCTCTCGATAATTCTTAACGCCGACTCATCAGCTGTTGTCATCGTCCATGAGTTAACGCCATATAGCAGGACGGGAATAATGAATGACTTTTAGAGTTTGGTTTTTGTTCGTCGAGAGAGGACGTACTTCTCAATTCCCTACTCAGTCCGGAATAGCACCTGTTGGCAAGAGTTATTTCGCGTTGGATTACATTGCTGTTTCTGTTAACACTGGTGGATCCAAGCGCAAGTGCGACGACTATTTGTTAGACGGCAGATGATATTTCATCTCGTTCTCGTTCACTACCAAGGGCACGGTTTTATGGGCAAAGACATCGATGTCATCGGCGTACGCCAGCAGTTGTGCGCTCTTATAGAAGATTGCACCTTCTCTATTTAGCTCTGCAGCTCGAATTATTTGTGTGTAAATTGAAGAAGTTGGACGATAGGAATTCGCCTTATCGTTGTCTACTTTTATATAAAGTGTGATGAGCTCAGTCGATTTAGCTCTGAATTTTTAACTGTCTGGTAACTGGCAATGCTATAACCTCCTAATATACTTATCAATCAAGTTCTTATATGGAAACTTTTTTCTTTGTAAAGGGTATTAGGGCTTCGTTTTTTCTTGTAATTAGAGAACTGACGTCCGCAAAGCAATCGTTGTTCTACTAGAACAACGTAAACGTAAGTATTTATATTGCTCACTTGCTTATTTTATTATTTATGACTAATTAGTTAAATGATTTTTGATCGATTGACAACTTCATACTTATACGTTTGTCAGTTGAGCGTCATTATCACACGCCGGCCTTATCACTTGATTTATGATATAAACAAAACTCAATTGGCGCATTTCGTCGACTGTTTTGTACATACTGTGTGCATTGATAAACCACACTATTGTGATAAGATTTAACAGTTATACATATGTATATATGGATGTTTGCGCATAAACTCATAAACTGGCATGTGATATTACTGGTGTGTTAATTTGTACACTTGTGTTAATATGTTTGTTAACTATTTATGAAGGCAAAACGATTTGGCTTGATTTTCGAGTGTTTTGTCAAATGATTGATTTCAGCTAAAAAAATCAGATTACTAAGTATACTAATTTGAAATGCGGTGCTAGTTATTTAGCGGTTATTACCTGCAAATGGCTTATAAAAACTAGTAATCTTTAATACTATCGTGAAATCAAGGGAAGTACCTCTATAAATAAACCAAAGAGTTAGACTGATAAGGCAAACAAAATTATTTTGGGATGTACCCATTGGAAATGAAAGATGATTTACAGACGATTTTAGGTCAGAAAAAAGTAGTGGGATCAACGGAATCTAGTCTAAGACAACGACACTCCAAAAAACTATGAAATACAAGATCCACTGGGACCAACTCAATTTTATTACAACACCTGTTATAACTACCCGTTTCTTTTATGAAACCTACCAGAACT